ACTATGTGACCCAACTGGAAGAAAAAAAGTCTGGACGCATAGAGCAGATCTACGTAACCCCGACGCCCAATTCCCAGACTGAAGAAGACTCTAAGCACATAGGGACAAGTCAAGGCGGCCAGAGTAGGACTAATACCGTGGGATGGCGGGAGGAGGATGTGCTTGCACAGTGCCGCCAGGAGCAGCCCCATTATGCAAAAGGGGTTCTACTTTTGAGAAATAAGAGAACAGAGTAGAAAACGGTAGCCAACATACATAGGACTAGAGGGCTCAGCATTTTTTTTTTCCAAAGGCGAAAGGTAGAAGAATTTATTAACATTGAGCATAAGTGTACCCAACCTATATATTTATAACCATACATGGTGAGGGGATAACAAAAACAAAATACTCTTATTTCTTGCAGTAAAACCTGAGGACCAGACAAGTCAGCATAAATAAAAATTACTCCAAACTGCATATGGTAATAAGAGTGCGGTTGGAACGACCCATTCTAAGTTAGTGGCATAAACCTAGGTTAGAGTCATTTAATTTTTATGGGTGATGTGTTTAAGCGTGAAACTTTTTTCTCTTTCTTCAATTAATATGTAAATAATTTTAATCTGTTAAAAGAATAATAATAATAAAAGTGCGGTTGAGTTAGTTTTTATTAATTTAAAAATTTTTAATTTAAAATTATAATTAAAATTTTAAATATTTCTAGTATTAAATAATTAATTTTTTAATATAAAAAATAAAATAAAACTGCTCCATGTTTACTCTTTTAATTTCATATGAATAAATTAACTTAACAATTGCATAGAGCAAATGAAGAATTGACGACTAGAAAGAGATTTGGACTGATGCTTATTCTAGGCACTCCTTGCGCTTTTGGCACTATCTAGAATTAAAGTGGAAATTAGACAAGTCCAAAAATAATTTAAAATAGTGGATTGAAGTGACAAAAAGAGAATGTGAGATACACCAAATGAGTTAATTAATGGAAAATGAGGGGCGTACCCGCAAGTTGCGCAGAAATTTTACATGTCTGCCCACGCATGGCATAGGAAGAGACATATGTGATCATGAACAGTCGCTACTTCGTTAAAATTATATAATTTTATTTAATTTAATTATTAAAAATAATTAATAATTAATTAATATTTATTATTTAATAAATTAAAATTAATTTATAAATTACTAATTTAAATATCATAATTAATTATTTAAATTTTTTTTTATAAATTAACAAAATAATAATTAAATTAAATTATTTTTATGTGAATTTAATAAAATAATGAATAAGCATAACCAAGTCAAGATGAACGGGGTGTTTTATATGCATAGCAGACCAAATATGAGGTTATACATATGCATGTCGTGGTCAGCATTGGCCCTCAATCCACCATTCTACATTTGCTTGATGACATATCTTCCTTTCTACATTTAGAAAAGAAGAAGAGGATGGTATTTGAGATACTTGACTGAGATATAGTATAGAGCGTTGCACTGATTTTGATTAAATTAATATAAGATTTGCATCCACTTTGAGACTAATTGACAATGGATGGAATGACTCTTTTTGTATTTAACTTACAAACTTCTTAATTATACATTTAATGTGAGATTTTTTACTTAACACACTCTTTTACGTGCAGATTCATTATGAATGTTAGGTCCTATTATGTGATTTAATATGTCTCTTTACGTATAAGTTTGATATCAACTTCGAATCTTATTAGGTTGACTAACAATAAGATTCTCAAGAAAAAATATATACTCTAACACCAAGTGAAAGAAAAGTAGAAGAGGATGTTATTTAAGAGAATACTCAATTGTATTCGCTTAACTCATTCTATACAAATAATTTGATATATATATATATATATATATACAAATATAGAAACATATCTGATGCCTATAATTATGTAGACAGATATGAAACAAAAATATTACTTGATTGATATAGCATAATCGTTGTTCTTATGAAAGTTACACTGATTTTGCCTGATTTGCTTTCTTCCTAATTTCTTGATTAACTCTGCTAACTTTTTTATTGATTGCTCATTCTCCTTCATATTCCTATCTCCATCGAAATTAAGGAATTTATAAAGAACATTTATGGGGACTACGAATTACAATTCGGCCATTGCATTTGTGCTAAGATCAGCCAGCCCATCTTATTTTCGAAAGGGTAAGCCTCTGGATGCGTGTATATTAAAAGAATAGATGTTGAAAGTTCAACTTTAGAATAGAAATGAAATTTTTTGGAAAAGTGAGACCTTCACCCATCGCTCACAACAAATGTAAAAACATTAAAAAAAAAAAAAAACAAAAGGAGAGAGTGGAAAACAATGACTAGTAATTAGAACTGAAGGAACAAACTCATAAAAACAAGCTGCATGTACAAAAAAAAAAAAAAAGAAAAAAAAAAGAAGAAGCTCAAATAGAACATTTATAGTGAGAATGAGGAAAATGAGGTGAAAAATAAAAGGAAATTAAGAGATTTTTCTAAAATTAAAAGAAGGTTTTTAGTCGTCTTTCCTTCAATTAATTAGGGGAAAAATCTCTTTTTTCTCTTTTCCCCTCAATCCAAAACGTTATAAGTATTATTTGTTAAATTCTTTATTCTTACAATCTAAGAAACTTGGGTAGAAAATGGGTTTTGGTTTTGATTTATATTTATATTAATGTTGGAAAAAATATGTTGAACAAACTATTCTTTTCTCTACAATAATATTGAAAAAAAAAAAAATCATTGCTCAAATAGAAAACTTGGGAAAATTTATCCATGCATATCCTAAAGTACACCAAACTTTCAGTATAATCATTAATTAAAATTTTTGAATATGCTAAACTTATGCTAGATAAGAGATCTGATGATACCCATACAATATGTAGGCACGTACGTGCTTATAGCGAAAGAATGGTGACGGTGTGGAGGCTATCTTCATCAGACTGTGACGCCGGCGACCCATTCACACGGGTTACCCTCTGACGAACCAGCCGCACAGCTCTCTGCCATCTGCTTTCGTTGGCTTGACTCGGTTCAGCACCAAAGGCTCCATGACCCAATTGGAAGAAAAACAGTCTGGATGCAAGGAGCAGATCATCGTAAGCTCGACGCACAATTCTCAGACCGAAGGAGACTCTAAGCATGCACATAGGGGCGAATCAGGCGGCCAAAGTCGGACTAATGCTGTCGGATGGCGAGAGGAGGTTGAGCTTGGCCGGTGCAACCAGGTGCAGCCCCATCATAAAAAATACATTTTTTTTATTAACTTCTCAATATTTGACAATTCTATTAGATCCGATTAATCCAAAACTTAGTTATATCAGACTCCATAAAGGAGGAACTCTTTCGATACTTATTTTTTTATTCATAAAACTCAAACTTAAAATTTTATTTAAGAGAAACTGAACTTATTTTACTCGAATCAATAAGTCATTGCTTAGAAAATGCTTTTTTAGTAAGGAGAGAACAGATGCTTATTAAGAGAACAAATGCGTTTTAGAGAAGGAAATGACGGCACTAATACACATGGGAGAGATCTGGATTGACGCTTATTTTAGGCATTCTTTTCACTTCCCCATTATTTTATGATTAAAGTGGAGATTAGAAAAGTAAAAAGTTATTCGAAATAGAAGGTTGAAAAGACAAAAGAGAACGCAATGTACATAAGATGAATTAATTAAGGGTTATTGGGTATAATAACTTGAATGACTCGAGTTTTTGAAGTAAGTAATTCGTTTCTAATCTTTTAAGTGTTTGAGTTTGGTTGATTGGGAGTTCGACTCCCATCAACGCCTTGAAAATATATTTCTCATTTCTCAAATTTTCTAATGTTAAAAAAAAAAAAGTATAATAATTTGAGTATAACGATTTGAATTTAGTGGTTAACATTTTTTTTAAAAATTTTATGAATAAAAATATTTAAATAATTAATAATAATAATTATTATCATCTCTCATATTAGATAAAACTATTAATCATTAATTTTTAAAGAGTCTCTTAATAAAGAAATGAGGGGCTTACTAGGAAATTGCCGAGAAATTTCATACTCACGCTCTTGCATGCCATGAGGGCCAGAGGGGTGCTTTAGATATTTACCTTTTGTGATGGTTATATGCATAGCAAACAACATATAAAATTACATATGCGTCACATGCAGCATTGGTCCTCAATGTGCATGTGCCATAAAGCTTTAGTCTCTGTCATCAGTACTCAATAATTTCCATCCTCCTGTTCATCCAAAAGAAAACTAATAACTTCCATCCTACAAATCTAACATTACCTACCATGTGCCGCATATCTACCATATATATACATATCCACCCTCCCCATTGAAATTGGAATAATGATAAAAGAGAAGAAAATCTAGTACCGATAACGGAATGTAAATTATATTATTTAAAATATTAAAAATATAAAAGTTATATTATTTAATAATTAATTTTTTATTTTTTGAAAATCATAATATTATATATAAAAAATCATTTAATAACATAATTTATACCACATATTAATCTCAAATTTTAATTTTAAATTTTCATCCTCCACCTCACTACTCTTGAAATCGAGGAATTTATAAATAACCCTTTTCTGAGGACTACGAATTACAAATGCAACTCGGTCGTTGCACTTGGGCTAAGATCGCCCAGTCCATCTTATCTTTGAAGAGGAAGCCTCTGCCTGCGTCGCGTCCAAGCTGAACTCTAACCCAACTTCGGGTTGGGTTCTGGCAGTGTAGCTAACCCATGGAACATACATACATAAAGGAGTATACATATTACTCATTTATTTCCTAATTTAGTGAAAAATTATCAAATATTAAAGCTTAATTATTTCTATTTTGCTAATAAAAATTTCCAAATTTAAGCTGTTTTTATAGTTTACCTAAAAAGTAGCCACTATCACCAACGTAACATGACTTCGGGTGACACAAATATTTGTTTCTCCGGTTTTAATTCGCCGCGTAATTTCCATGCTCTTGTGGACAAGCTTTCTTCCAAGGCGTTTTCAATGAAAAGGTTTAATAATAAAGTGTAATAATTCATTTATATGTAAATTTTACATATTATATTTATATAAAATTTTAATTTTTTATTTTTTATTTTTAATAATTAAAATTTATTAGTTTTTTTTATATAAAATATAATTATTTTAAATAAATATAAATAAATCTTAATTACTGAAAGTGATAAGATAAATGATCAAAATTTTATATAAATATAATACATAAAATTTATATATAAATATATCTTTACTAGATAAATGATAATAATTTTATATAAGGTTAAATGTTAATTTTAGTCTTTCAACTTTAAGGTTGCACAATTTGTGTCCCTTAACTTTTTTTATGTACTTATTTAGTCCCTTAACTATGAAAAACACACTTTTTCAGCCTTCAGTAAATTAGTTCATTAAATTTATTTGAATATACATATTTTTAATCCTTTAACTTTTTATATATATACATTTTAGTCCTTCAACTTTAAATTGAGGGATTAAAAATATACATATTTAGACAAATTTAATAAACAAATTAACAAAAAATTAAAAAATTTAGACAAACTTAACAAACAAATTAACGGAAGATTAAAAAAATTAGACTGATACCTGCACTTGTCCATAACATGGACTAATTGGTTTTGATCGAGCAACCAAACTCCAATAAAGTAAATATCTCACTGAGCTCCTGCAACATTTTCAAAATATTTGCAAGATATCAATTCCATGATTAGGTGTCATTGTAATATCAATTCCATGAATGTGACTATTAACTACCTTAATCTCACCACACTGCCAGATAGGAAAGAGCAGACAAGGTCCCACTTTTGGAGCCGGTAATTCACCACACGCACGTAAAGTAGTATTCACTACTGAGTGCATCAAAGCCTTCAATCTCATTTAAGCAACAGCAACTGTTCCAAAGATCCTGCATAAACGGTTATTCACACTTGAAGTTTGAATACTTGAAAAAAATATTTAATCATAATATTAAACTAAAAGGCCAAAATATCCTCCTTTCTTTTGACCTCCCTTCTCTGGGTTTAGTGATAATACAAACTTACCGGTAGAAACATAGCACATGCCTTCAGCATTCCTTTACAAGGCATTATCAACACATCCTTTGAGAGGATGGGAGCAAGCATTGTACGTTCCTTCCTAAATCAAATAGAGAACAAGGAAATGTAACTCAGGTAGTAAGGAAATGTATATGCAAAAGCAGGTCAAACCATAGAAACAAATTACTATACTGAAGACATACCAAAAACGCAGGTTCTGCCATGGAAGCATTCCCTCATTTCCATAATAGTATGGTTCTCCAATCCATAGATCAACCTGGAAATAGAACATAAAATCCTAACTTTTTGAAAATAAACTCAGAACTGATGCTTTGAAGATATAAATTGCATATCTAAGCATACTGCTCAACCAGAACAGGAATGATTTTGTAAAGCTCAATCATAGATCACCGCAACTATTTAACCAGAATACATGTAAAGCACAGTTAAATTCTGAAAGTAGGTCATACATGTGAGCTAAGCAGAAGTGTGAAGAAATCAAGAAATTTTTACCTTCTTATGCCAAACGTATCATGCATGGTCAAGCATATTTTCATATTTCCAATAACTTTTACGAGAAACCATTTGCACTAGCAACAGCTTCAATATATTGCGCACCCCCGTCTCTCAGACCAGGAAACAAGGATATCACATGTGATGTTTTTGAAAGATTTGCAGCAAGAAGTGTTAGAAAAATGCTATCATCTGCAACAACACAAAATGGGCTATCTCTTCCCTGCAACTATAAAGAAAATTATTTACATAAAGAGGGGTGCCAGAACAAAAGGAGGGAAATAGCATAGAAAATTAGCGGTACTCAAATTTTGAGAACAGCACTAACTATGAAATTTTTTTAAGGGCAGCGCCAAAAAGACAACTTCAACATGCATGAGGAAGACTCTTAACAAGCATGGTTGGAGTTGAGAGAGAGATCTTACAGCATTTTTTAGGGCCGTTAACATAGACAGTCTCCAATTACTATCTCCATAAATTTCAACTCCTTCGAGTGGTAGTGTGAGCTGAAAATCCTCCAATTTATTATCATCCTGTATTGTGTCAGTCCTTGGGACTAGGATTTTCGGATTATATGAGATACTAGTATCAGTATGAATAGCCTCCGATAACACTTCTTGTCCCTTGGATATGAATGCACCCTTCTCAGGAAGGAACCAGACACATTGTTTCCAATGGTCACACCAATCCCAGTCACCTAGTGGAGCATCAGAAAATCATGAGTTAATGGTCAAAAACCTCAACAATATAACTTATCTATACATACACACATATATAATCTTCTGTTTCAAAATTTCCCTCTGGATTCACATTCAACTACTGGGTCTTCGCTCTTCATATCATATAACAAAAAAACAACAAAATGCATTTTCCCAATGTTTTGAAATATATTTCCTTACTAGCACAAAAACCTCTTTTTATTTATTTATTTATTTATTTATTTTTTATGTTGGTTGTACAATGAGAAGCAATCCTTTCTAATTTTTTATCCCACCCCACCTATATATTATGTAACTTAAACTCAGTATCTCTTATTTTCAACAGAAGGAGATTCCCATTGAACTACTTAATTTATTGGCTATTAGCACAAAAACCTTAAACATGCCTACTTGCACAAACTATATGTCTGGAACTAAACCTGTGTTGATTGGTGAATTTATCCATTGAGGAGCAGTTGAATAAAAGACTGTTCCTTCACGATCAAGCTGAAGTATCCACATGCAACAAGAGTGGAGGCACAAAGGCAC